TCGTGAGACACGCCAGCAATTGTCGAGTTACTAAACCCTAACACTACTACTACTACTACTACTACTACTACTACTACTACTACTACTCCTACTCCTACTGCTACTGCTACTGCTACTACTGCTACTGCTACCGCTACCGCTACCGCTACCGCTACCGCTACCGCTACCGCTACCGCTACCGCTACCGCTACCGCTACCGCTACCGCTGCCGCTGCCGCTGCCGCTGCCGCTGCCGCTGCCGCTGCCGCTGCCGCTGCCGCTACCGCTACCGCTACCGCTACCGCTACCGCTACCGCTATACGGCTACTGCTACTGCTACTGCTACTGCTACTGCTACTGCTACTGCTACTGCTACTGCTACTACTGCTACTGCTACTGCTACTGCTACTGCTACTGCTACTGCTACTGCTCCTGCTACTGCCTGCTCTGCTCTGCTCCGCTCCTGCTCCTGCTCCTGCTCCTGCTCCTGCTGCTGCTGCTGCTGCTCCTGCTACTGCTACTTGCTACTGCTACTACTACTATGCTACTACTGCTGCTACTGCTACTGCTGCTACTGCTGCTACTGCTGCTGCTGCTACTGCTGCTGCTGCTGCTCCTGCTGCTGCTGCTACTGCTACTGCTACTGCTACTGCTACTGCTACTGCTACTGCTACTGCTACTGCTACTGCTACTGCTACTGCTACTGCTACTTCTACTTCTACTGCTACTGCTACTGCTACTGCTACTGCTGCTACTACTACTACTACTGCTACTGCTACTGCTACTGCTAGGCTTAGTAGAGGATTGAAATTGACTACTTTACTGCAAGTAGAGGCTTAGTAGGGGAGAACAATTTAGTCCCTTCAGCAATCAGAGGGCCAAAAACTTACTATTTTACTGCAGTTAGACGCTTAGTAGAGGCTCAAAACTGACTACTTTTTTACTGCAAGAAGAGGCTTAATAGGGGCTTAACATTTACTATTTTACTGCAATTAGAGGTTTAGCAAAGGCTTACAACTAACTGCTTTATTGCAATTAGAGGCTGAGTAGGGGCCTAAAAAGTTACTACTTTGCTGGAATTGGAGGCTTAGTAGGGGCTTAAAGCTTACTAGTTTACTGCAATTAGAGGCTTAGTAGGAGCTTAAGACTTACTACTGTGCTGCATTTGAAGGCCTAGTAGCGGCTAAAAACGTGCTACTCTACTGCAATGAGAGCCTTAGTAGAGGCTTAACATAACACTTACTATCTTACTGCAATTACCGGCGTAGTAAGGGCTTAAAACTTATTACGTTACTGCAATTAAAGGCTTAGGAGAGGCCAGACAACTCAGATTGAGGCCTTGCCCCGGAAGCATCCATTCCGTATCAATCCGAGTCTTCAAAAAAAGCCCAACAATCATTCCACCCTGAGCTATATACCCCTTACGGCTGGTCTCCGGAGCAGTTTCCTCCGGATTTATAAAGCCCACACTTATAGGAAATTATTTTCGGGGCCCTGAGGACGACGACTACTACTACTACTACTACTACTGCTACTTTTTTTTCATGTCCGCTGCTGCGCGCCGCCTGCGTGGGCTCGCCGGCCCGCACCCCTCCAGATTTCTTGTCCAGGATTCTTAATTGTCAGAGGGGTGGGGGGCCCGACTAATCAAAAGCACGGTTTACTACTAGTACTAGTACCAGTACCAATACTTTGCTGTTACTATTATTACTATCACGAATCTTAATACTGGGCCTAAGACTAGCACTAGCAGCAGTTCTGATACTGATACCAGTGCTAATATTGGTGCTAATGCTAATAACAAAGAACTAATAGTAGCAACCTATAGTGATGATGATAATAGTGTTGGTAATGCAAATATTAACAATATAGTAATGGTATCAATGACAAGATATTTCTAGTGATGAAAACTAACTATGGCAATGACAACAACAGTAAGACTAAGACAGCAATAAATAAGAACAGGAATAAGGATGCGAATAAAACGAATAACACACAGAAATCATACCAAAAATAGTCCTGTCGGAGCTAAGGATGACGATCATTGCCGCGGAGGCTGAGGCCATGAATGCTGAGGAGGCCTGGATGTACAGCCTTGTGCCAGCGCTATCGGAATCATAGTATACTGTACTACTTCACAGTGAATTATAGCGTACTATACTATAGCATGCAAGGACTTCTCAAACGTCAGGCCAAGAGACGTGCCCAAAGCAAGTTTGGTAAAGCGTGGCTACAGAGTGTGCCACTCCTGTGTTCCGAGATTTAGCTTTGATTCGATAAGTTAGTTCTGTTCTTCCGTAGTCTTTCTTTGTCATGTAAGCACCCACGCTTCCTTCCCGGGCGGCGAGGGGGCCTGAATCTGCAATGAATACAGGTAGAATGGTTGGCATGGTTGGCATGACGTGGGGATGTGTCGTTCGAACATCTTGGCCTCAGCCCGGTGGCTTCCTCGGTTCTAGGCCTTCCAGTGCGTAGGCCCTTTGACTTTGCTCGTCCGTGAGGTTGCAGCAACGAAGACATCGCTTGTGCAGAACAAGTTGCGGCTTCGGCGTCCGGAACTCTACGACCAAGCAGTTGCGTTCTGGCCAAGCGGTTCCAAGTACACTTTCGACATCTAGGGTGACACACCGGATCAGATTTTCACCTCACCTGAAAGAGATTCCTTGAGCGACCTGGGTGCAGCGTGCGCCCCACGACACTAACAAGCCAATTGCAGCGATGGGTGGCTTGACAAACAAAGGGACTCTCCCTAGCCATGCCGGCAGTTGCTCAAGCTGCAAATGCTAGCAGTTACCACCCGTCGCTCCAAGAGTCAGCACTGCAACAGGCAGGCTGTTTGGACAGCAGTCCAGTTTTCCCCCGTCCACTACGTCCGGCATGTTTGTGGTTTGCATGGTGCAGTCTCGATTTGAGCAGGATGTGTTGTAAACCTGACAAACTGTAGTTTGTTTCTTTCTACTTCATTAGACTCACCACCAGCAGCCTGTCAGACACATGGGTAGAATGAATCCGCAATTCAAGAATGCAGATGTGTCAGGTCTGAGTATGTCGAGTGTAGATGGTTGGCGAAAGCCTTGCAAAATGGTCTGCATGCAGATCGGGTACTTCTTTGGTTTCGCGGATTGGCAAACCACGACTCAGCAGCACAGATCATGGACGGGTAAAAGCGTTTCCTACAACTTGCTTGCGGCAGGCACTGCCTGGCTCGCAGTTGCACGAGAGTTTGATCCTAGTCAAGGCAAGCGACCGTAGGTACATTCTGCTGGAGTGGATAATTTGCCAGCTGGCTACTTGTGTGTCACCTGCTGTCAGGCAAAAGCTCGCAGTGTCAAGTTCAGACATTTTGGACACCAGTCCATTTTTCCCCCGTCTGCCCTTTGCCACCTAAACGTGGTTCGCCTGACAGTGTCTCGCTAAGTTGTCATGAACCCTGCTATAGGATTATCTAGCGTAATTCCGGTGAGAAAATGGCCAACCACATTGCAGGTAGCATACATCAGGGACGGGTTGCTGCTGGATGGTTTCGGTCACCATGTCCAGTGCCAAACCCGGAGCACACCAGCTGCACCAGATTCACCCAAGAGGCCAACATTTCCAGAGCCCAGTACAGATCCGCAGCCTGCATCGCGGATCGAGCAGTCGGGGATCTACTGGAAGTGAAGTCTGCGGCGTGTGCTGTTGCTTTCTTCTTGCTAGCTGCTAGTTTCATAGGTTCATCACGAGACGCTGGTCAGACCCACGGGTAGAGTAGATCCATCATTTCAGCAATGCAGATGTGTCAGGTCTGAGTATGTCGAGTGCAGATGATTGGCGATAGCCGTTGCAAAATGGTCTGAGATCGGATACTTTTTGGTTTCGCGGATTGGCATTAAACTACGGTACAGTAGTACAGATCATGGACGGACTAAAGCATCACCTACAGCCAGCTTGCTGTCGGCAGGCACTGCCTGGCTCGCAACTGCACGAGAGTTGCTCCCAGTCAAGGTAAGCAACCGTAGGCATATTTATCTGGAGTCGCTAACTTGCCAGCTTGATACTTGTGTGTCACCTGCTGTTCAGGTAAAAGCCCGCAGTTTCAATGAATTTCAGACATTTTGGACACCAGTCCATTTTTCCCCCGTCTGCCCTTTGCCACCTGCCGGTGGTTCGCCTCATCAACCCTGCTATAGGATTATCTAGCGTAATTGCGGTGAGAAGATGGCCAACCACATTGCAGGTAGCATACATCAGGGACGGGTTGCTGCTGGATGGTTTCGGTCACCATCTCCAGTGCCAAGCAGGGTTCGCCCACGACTTGGTACCAGCTGCACCAGATTCGCACGCACAAAGGCCGGCAGAAGGCTAAAAATTGCCAGAGCCCAGTACAGATCCGTGGCAGAGCGAGCAGTCACCCGGATCTACTGGAAGTGATTTCTGCGGGGCAAGCAGCAGTTTCACCAATTTACGGAGGCAGCTGCAACTACATCAGCCGCAGCAGGTCAGTCATTGTCATATCCACCTGCGGAAGGCATAGCGAGGTGAGCTGGAAATACTAGCTGCCTGCGGATGGAGTCCGCGCAACGCTTTGCCAGCAGTGGTTTTTGCGGTGACACTGCCACGGCGGCTGAACCGAGAAGCCAAGAGTTTGGTGCTTTTTCCGAACATGCTAGAATGTTGACAGCAAAGTCACCTCCGCTTGCATAGACTTCTGCTGGGAAACAAGAGCGCGATATGACACATCTCAGAGCCCTGCATCGCATGCAGGGATGCAGTGCGGCGCAACACGTCATGTCTCTGTATGCAATTTCTAGTTATTCTAGTTGTTTCCACATGTACTTGATCGGTTTGCCGCTGTGCACGTGCGACGATGAAGAACTTGAGCCCACACCCCGATACCCAAAGACGGTGAGATTTCACAGGCTCCGATTCACATTGCAGCACTTGGAGTTGTAGCACCCATGATCCTCTTCCACGATGTCCTTGCTTTGCCGTGGTGCTTGCTTTGCGTGAGCAGAACCTCGAAATACTGTGTGCAAACCAAGGTCAAGGCATACTGGTCTGCTCATCCTGATCAGGCGAGATGCCCATTGGAGCCTCCCTAAACCGGGACTGTCTGGCGCGGATAGGAAGCAGAGGCAGATGAGGTGTGCTGGATTCTTGGTGAAAGTGACGCCTGCTTGCGTTGGTTGCCATTCCCACAGAAAAAAACCTGACAGGCAGTGGTCTTTGACACGCGCCCTGCGTCGTCGGCAGATCAAGCCGGCGCTGAAGACTGCATCATAAGGTGCGGTTAAACAGACATGCGGCGGTCCAGCTTAATAAAAGAAGGCAGTATCGTGCAAAATACGTATTCGCTGTGGTGAAGGCTCGGAGTATTGTTGTTGATCATTGCTTGAGGTGGTTGAGCCATTTCTTGGTGGATAGCCCAAACTCCGGGCAGTTTTTTTTTCTGGGTCTGATGGACCTTGCTGTTCCTTGGTAGTCGCTGACCGCACATGAAACAGGACATCGGGTAAACGATGATGAGAAAGAGCGCCAGCTTTCAATGAAGCCACGCATTTCACGAAGACCAGATTGCGCCCTGGTGAGACTTTGAGCCTTGACTCTGACAGGGACCAGGTTCTGCTGCCCAGAGCAGCGCCGGGAATGGCTGTGGTGGAGGTCTTGCACGAGGTCCATCCGTTGCTTTCCGATTTTCCAGTACTACCGGATTCAAGCGTAGCCCACTGACATCATGTCATGCTAGCTGCTATCTTCTACAGCTGATCATCGCTGTCCAGTCTGCCCACATGTGCCTTCTCGCCACGGGCAGCGTTGCTGTGCCATGCTGCGTGCAGGGGGCCTCAAGCCCAGATTTCCGGACCGAGCTGAATGTCTTGGACGCCTCTAATCACAGGTGCACAGTGAATCTTGCAAGTCTTCAGTGAATGTGAGCGAAGATGTCTGCAAAGAATGCCTGCCCACATCCCTCTTTAAAGCTGGGTGACAAGTACACTCGCGTGCATGCTCAGTGCCAGCCACCACTGGATTACTGGGAGCAATAGAATCCAGGAAGCCTCATTGAGGAGTCCGAGCTAAGCATGGGGAGGAGGGCTTGCTGCACATCGCCAGTTGACGCCAGGCTTCTCGATCATCAGCTTGCCGCCGAAAGCGGATCTGGGAAGCCCAGTATTCATTTGAGCCTCTGGGGATGAAAACTAGACTAGATCTCGGCGCCTCCTCAAGATCATGGCAGCGCGGTGCGACAGCACCAAAACACCCGCCGAGGGATTTGGCCTCATCCGCTCAGACGAGCGTCACAGCTTGGAGGGGCCGGACATGCCAAAGAAGGTGCCGATCTTCTTGGGCTGTTTGTGTTTGGGGCTATAAGGCCTTTGAGCTTGGTGCAGAAGTTTTAGGTTCAGGGTTTGAGATGGTTTGAGGGCTTAGGTTCCAGTTTGCAAAGGGACATCGTTGCAAGAGCTAGGTTTGTCTCCAGAAGTGAATTTGCTTGGCAAGTCTGGGCCCCGTGGTATGAGGGAGCTGGGTCGATCGGATGAAAAGGTTTGGGGTTGCGCAATGCAGGCCTTGTGGACGCATCTTTGCCGTGCTGCCTGATCTGGGTTCATCCTGCATCGTAGTCAGCTTGGCCTCTTCGGCTACGGCCTTCTGCGGTGATTTGCAGACACTATAGAGTAGAATCTTTAGAACTGCATCAGTACCTACCCCCAGCCTACAGTTCCAGCTTTTGGATGAAGCGAGTGTCCGCCCGAAGCTGCGCATACTCCACTCGCCAAGATGCCGCACGTACGCGCGCGCACGCACGCACGCACGCGCGCGCACGCACAAAAAGCAATAAACAATGACCCAAAGCACAGACACACAGAGACACAGAGACACAGACACACAGACGTACAGACGCACAGACGCACAGACGCAGACACGCAGACACGCAGACACACAGACACACAGACACGCAGACACGCAGACACACAGACACACACAGACACACAGACACAGACACAGACAGACACAGACACAGACACAGACACGGACACGGACACGGACACGGACACAGACCCAGACCCAGACCCAGACCCAGACCCAGACCCAGACCCAGACCCAGACCCAGACCAGACCCAGACCCAGACCCAGACCCAGACCCAGACCCAGACCCAGACCCAGACCCAGACCCAGACCCAGACCCAGACCCAGACCCAGACCCAGACACACACAGACACAGACACAGACACAGACACAGAGACAGACACAGAGACAGACACAGAGAGACAGACAGAGCCGAATCGGGAGCAGGTGTCGCCGCTGTTGCAGCTACGACCCTGCAACTGGGAATGCACAGAATTCTGGAGCCGGATAGTTCAGTTCTGCATGTCAGAACACGACCGTTGGTAAGGCTCTTCACTTGCGCTTCGCCAGCAGCGAAAGACCGTTAGCCTCTCACCTCAGGCAGTCCTGCCCGAGCGAGTCGAGCCTCGCAGACGAGGAGGAAGCTGTCAGGGTGGGGGTTCAGACTCTTCCGACTCGGGCCTGACCTGCGTGCCGGGAGTTGTCTGCAGAGGACATGGAAGAAGAGTTCGAGGAGGAGGAGTTGGAGGATGACTCTTTGCTCGAACTTTGACACTTTCAGTGACAATGTGTGGCGTCTGGAATGGTTTCTGTCGTTGCCAAGGGGATTTCTGCAGAGGCTCTGATCGACGTATACGTATCCCGCAGGCTTTGGAGGGCCCTGGCATTGCCACCCCCTGCTCTGGAAGAAGCAAGGCCTCTTCTGGGGCCGCGTTGCTTTCCAAGGACCCTGTCTTGGAAGAAGCGCCCGCTGCTAGCGGGACGTGAAGACGTGTTTCACTCTGGACCTGTGCACTCAACACGAGATGCCAGCTTTCTTTTGAAAACGTCCAGGCAGTTGCTGCAGTGCAAGTCGAGGCAACCCTAGAGATAGGATCCTTTTGGAGCCGGTTGACTACTGTAGTCACTGTAGTCTCCTGCAGCATGAATGCTCAAGTAGTCAATGCTGCACACCAGCGTGAGCACAGCTTTAAGCCGTGCCCGTTGTGACGCAAACAACATCGGCCCTTATGAGTGCAAGCTATCGGACCTAGCCTTAGTTGGAACTTCAGAACATAGGACGTAGGCGCCTTTCGGCTGTTGCCGTGATCGCTCCATGGCCGAGCTTCAGGACTTCCTGCTCAGTGTGGGTCCCAGGCTCCGGTGAAGTCTAGCGCGTGCCAGGAAGGTGCTGTGAACCTCGACGAGACCCTCACCGTGCGCCGACACAGTCATGCATGGCTTCGGTGGTTTGCTGGATCTGAGGATCTCGAATGGCTGCTTTCCCAGCTGTTTCAGGTGGAATCGGCGAGCCTTGCAGAAGGCGCTCTCGTGCAGAGGCCCCCCGTGAAATACCGTCGTCAGCTGAAGTTTCACAGAGCCCAGCAGTTCTTGAAGAGGCTCCTGGAGCTCAATGACGATGTCGTGGCACTGCGTGAGGCCCGGATGCCCTATGCTCTCCCACGTCCTGTCTCCTGTCGCCGCATCAGCGAGTGAGCCAGTGCTGCTGGTGTTCAACATCGGGGGCTTGCGTACTTTGCGCGTGCTTCATGGATATTCGTGTGGCAGGAGAGGTGAGGCACAAACCTCAGGTGAGCTTCATAGCCAGGGATCTGGCTCTTTGACGGTCATGGTCCACCACGTAGATTCATTCATTAATCACCGGCTTTTTTTCATCAGCAGAAGATGCTTTTGAAAGCAGAGCCCCGTCTGAATCCAAGTGTGCAACAGCGGTCAGCTTTGCAGCCCCAGCAAACATCGGCCGGCACCTGCCGGCAGTCAGCACAATGCGAAATCACAGCCTCTGCTCCCGTCGATGCCTATCTACCCATTGCCTTCTTCAGCAACTGCTACAGGCTTTGTTTGAATCGCAGTGCACTTTGCTACAGATTTGACCGTTTTCGTATTCCTGGGCCCGAGAAGGCGACTGAAGGTCCCTAGATCCCAACACACCAGGAGCTGCGGCGCCTGAAGGGCGGTGCCTCGCTGACGGAGCTTCGGCTCTTTGTGGCGAGTGCAGCAGAGCTTCAGGAGCGACAGCTGCGTCTGAGGGCTGTGAAGCTGAAGTCATGGCAAAGCAACTCGCTGCACTTCCGAGCAGGCCAAAGCTGGCATCCCGCAGCACCTTCTAAAGAAGGCCCGGTGGTGCGTGCTGGGTGCGCGCCTGATGCTGAATGGCTGAGCTGTCCTGATCTGCGCTGAGGAGGCTTTGAAGGAGGCCGGCATTCCTGTGGAGGAGGTGGAGGAGGCATCGTCTTCAGGGGTCGTTCCGTGGTTTTCCTGGCCGGATCGACTTATAGCGTAGGCGTACCTCGTAGGACTTCATCCGTGTCCCGCCTTTAGTCCGTCCTTCACTCGGGTCCATGCATTGGAGCCACTGGAGCTCAGAAATACTCAAGCGATAGCGGCATGCTGTCATGCTGTTCGCCTTCCGGGTCGACATGGCCTTTGCCGAAGCACAAACGCACAAAGCCCTTTTCTCCTCTTGGTGCTCATCTTCGTCAGAACTGGAACAGCCGCGCGAGGGCCAAAACAACCCAAGACGAGACATTTTACCGATTACGTAAATACGGGTTTTCTTGGTGCGCAGAGATCCGGCAGAAGTGCAGCAGACAAACTGAAGCTTTACAAGAGCAGGGTTTTGGCAATTCGATTGCACTTCCAATCCCAGTTTCACACCGTGAGGATCTGGTTATAGGTGTGACTGTTAGGGCCGTGTCGTCGGCCTTAGGCTGAGGCCGTCGATGTGTGAGCCACAGCTGTCAGACCTGTGGCTTTCAGGCCCGACGGCTGCTGATGGCCGTGACCGCTACCGAGGAGGTGATCTGCATGCAGCCTTCGCATGGGTCAGAAGGGTGGGCCCACAGAAACCTGTCGGCTGCCAGAAGCCCAAGAGAGGCATGATTCCTGTATCCCTCCTCCGGACCTGAAGCGTCAGGCGGCTTCCCAGTGTCGCCGATGCCTAGCGGAGGTCCGGTTGCGCTGGGGTTCTTCTCATCTCTGTTTCGACTGGCGGCTGGCGGCATCATACTGTACGGGTTGGGGGGACGGACATTTGTTGGATGCTTTTGGTGCGACGTCGTTCCCCATCCGGAGCTTCGTCAGATTCCAGGCGCGACACGCCTCTCCAGCTTCCGAGCTAAGACAGCTTCTGGCAAGCTGGGAGAATCTGAGGACGTTCGGGCAGCAGCAGCATTCTCTTCTTGGCTTCTGCTGGCAGCTGCGCTTGCTACGAGGTTTCGTGATACATAGTTGCTGGATCAGGGGTGGCCTGTTGCGAGCTTTGTGCATCTCCCCGCAGCAACATCCATATCAAGGCGGGCACACGCAAGAAGCACATCCGTCCCTTGCATGATAGCTGCTCAAAATTCGCAACAACCGAAGAAACCTGTAAGATGGCTCTGGCTTTGCATGCGTACAGCCGTCGCCCCCTCAGTTCGGAGTTCATGGGAGCTTACGATCCTGCTCTCGTCTCTGGTCCCTGATTACAATGCGGACGAGGTGAGGTGCATGCAAGACCGTGCCCGTGGTGACAAGAATGTGCACCTAACACTCCCCGTTTCCTGCAAAACAAGTTGCAAGATGGTCCTGTAGTACTATAGGGCCCTAGGGTAACAACTTCCTGGGCCGGCAAGAGAACACTCCGCTTCTTGTCATTTGCATCGTCGGGTCGGAGTTCCTTGACCCGTGTTCGTAATTATGGGAGGAGTGGTTTCGCAACGATTCTGCTGAAGATTCCACCAGAGCTGCAACAAGTTCTCTCACCCCGGAAGTGACAGATTTTCGACAGGACGCCCCCAACGGTATAAGGGTTTGAGAGATGTTCTCTTCCCCTGCCAGCTCGAAGCCTTCGCCGCCTTCGCTGCCATTTGGAGGGAAGTATAGTTTCAAATCCATCTAAAATCACTGCTGCTAGTTTGCAGCACAAACAGTCTGAACTGCCGCGGCCTCAGGCCTAAAGGCAAGTTCCATGCATCTCCTTTGATCCTTCGCCTGATTCCTGAAACGATTTAGGCATCATACAAGTTCCAGCCCATAGGGGCGTCGAGCGATTGCCAGGGCGAGGGTGTGTTCCTAAATCCAGCTTCTGAGGCGTGCGGAATTCGTTTTATCATGGGCCCTCCCGGCAAAGCTGCCGGGAAGGGCAAGGCTCGGTGCCTGGGTTGTAAGAGTAAGTTGCAGAAAAGAACAGCCTGTTGGTTCTCGCACAGAACCGGCATAGAACCGGCAGGGCGCTGCGGGTCGCAAGCCCAGGGGAGGACGAGGAGGCACCTTTGCCGCCGTCAAAGGTTGGAGGTCACTGACACCTTCCGGCGTCTCTTGGTACTGGCGTGGCATATCAGCATAGTGGGCACGAAAGCAGGGTCCAGCATCAGTCTTCCTGGCGGGTCCGAGCATGGACGGCGATTCAACCATGGTTTCAAGAGTTGATGTCAACCACGTGATTTTTTGCGAAGACATTTTATCATGTCTCCGTTGACGCCCATTTGTGCGACTGTGCCGGGCCGGGCGGGCGCTCGTTGCAGGCACCCATCCATGGATTAATTCTCAGATCATCCAAGCCTCTGATGGGAAAGATGTGCATCACCTGCGCTTTGGCCGCAATGGGGTGTTCGTGGCAGGACACGCCAGTACACCACTGTGGGAGTCGAACGGCCCTTCTCGTCTTGTCACCTTACTTTCAGCTGCACTTGCTGTGCATTGCTGTGCACTGTCTCGGCTGTGAAGCTGCGCTGGGATGGGAGTTCTGCCTATGAGGTTCAGGTCTTTGAGCAGCAAAACGTTTCATCTCCGATGTGTCGATGCAAGCTAAGGATGTCGGTGATCATGCAACATCTGTCCGGCACTGAAAACACCGTTGGCCAGTGCATTCGCAATCACTGAAGCTGTTTCCAGCTCCATAGTAAATTGGGTGCTGGGACACTCCAGATTTGTCTCTGGCAGGCCCCAGATGAATCTTGTCAACCTGTCCACGGCAATCCACCGTGTGGCCAAAATCGCAGGGTCAGATCCATGGCAACAGGTGGCCTGCATCTGTGTGTGTTTCGGTCTTGAAGGGAGGAGGTTCAGCACGACGGCTATCCCAACCTCTACCCGTACCAGGTAGCCAGCCACGTTTCCGACACGCTTAACCAGATCATGGACAGTTGTCCTAAAACAGGGCAGGCGAACTCTAGCTGGGCGCTTCAGTTTTCCACTGCTGTTAAAGCTGTGAGACCGTGAGTGTTAGGGTCATTCTTTAGCGACTTCCCAAGCAGAAAGTGAAATCTGTCTGCTTTACTGCCGGAGCTCGAGAAAATCCTGGGAGACCTTGAGCTCCTGCACACTCCGCAGGCGCAGCTGCGGAAAAATCCTTCTTTGAACACGCTGCTCAACAGCGTCTGTACAGCGTTGCCTGGCAGCTTTCAAGGGAGTGCAGGGATTCGCTGTGGCGGTGCCGGTGCAGGCTTGAAGTGGTTGAAGAACCAGTCCCTGCAAGACTCGGTTTTACGGCAAGTGGAGATGATGCATCCACGAGGTTGAATGTCGTGGAAGCCACAGAAGTGCAGCCGCAGTCTGTGAGCAATGTCTGGATCTGAGACAGTGATGGATATAGCAGGTCTGCTGGAAGGGACTTCGTTGCCATGCTTTCCAGGTTGGCATGTTTTGCAGAGTGTGCGTTCTGTAGCAGGATCCAAATTCTGGTTAAGATGTGCAGCTGGACACATATACAGACGAAAGAGGCGGAAGCGGGGACACGAAATGAACAAGCTAAAAAGGTGGTCTGGTCTTTGGCCACCCTGCGGATCGTTCATAGGCACGGTCACGGATCAAAGCAGGAATTCCGATTCATTTGACAATGTCGCGTTTGAAAGCATTGGCTGTCAGAAGTTCACGCTGTTTCGTTCCGAAGTCCTTCTGGGGGCTCTGGACCAGTCGGGTTTTGCAAGCCTGAGCTCTCACACATGGTCTCATTTATCTGAGCAAGATGCTTCCTCGAGTGGATGCTCCGTGATTGTGTCAAGAGAGACGGCACGCTGCCTTTCTTTTGCAGCGCCAGGCCTCTTCTGCAGGCAGGTGCAACGGGGCAGGGCTCTTTGCCGAAATAGCCGGGTACATGGACACATCCGCAGAAATCTCCTCGGGAATCACTGGGGCTCATGCAAAGCTTGAGGCTCTCGCTGTGGTTCAACCTCGAGTGAGTCGGAGACAAATCCCTCGGAGAGATGAGAGCGCCAGGTAATATCCCTGGTGTGCATATCCAATATGGTGTGGCACTCGGAGTGCTTGTGAATATCACTAACTAGCCACTATCCATGAGGATACTGAGTACTGTGTTCGCGTTGGCCAGGGAAGCATGAACTCGCGACAGAGAGAGCAAGCGAGATGCAGAGCACTTCCTGAAGAGTTTTGCATGATTCATGAGGCGGGCTTCCGTTGTGTTGGGGTGGCGTTGGGCTCAAGTTTCAGAACGAAGAGAAACAAAGCGACATAACACGCACTTTCACAGCTCGACGCCCGGAGGGGTAAGCACGAGAAAACGAGTCTCGGCAAGGGTTTGATGCTGCAACCCGTGGAGCCAGCTTGCAACCAAGCAGAGGGCACAGCACGATCCATCAAAAACATGGAGGAACAAGTGGACGCATGAGTAGATGACAGACCGTCAAGGCTCTAATGCCCACCGTAGCGGTTATGACCGTTCTGAGCCGTTTAAGGGAGCTGTGACCCATCGCACAGCTTCCGCCCGCAGCACACTCTCCAAACTGTATGCTGTAATTCCGGCACTTACCTGTTGGCATGGAGCAGTTCGCCCTTGCACTAGTCACTAGACACTTCTCACCCATCGGCTGCCTGGCACGGGTTCTCCTTCTGCCGCCGCAGGCTCAATTTAAAAGCTTCGAGCTCTCAACCACGTTGTGGGCCCTGGCGAAGCTTGGCTCTATGGAGGACAGAACCCTCTGCCGATGCTGCAGAGTTCTCTCGGAGACACCTAAGCCGCGATCATGATAGACCGACTTCATCCCCATCGCCCGGTCCTGCTAGTCTAAAGCTGTCGCTGTAGCAGCAGTTTACGTGCTCAGAAAGAACGGCCCTTGCCGGAAGGATGCGGCACCTGTGGACAAGGCCGTTTTCTATGCTGCAGGGCGCTCAACTTGAACATCCCGGCGGGACGTTTGGGATTTAGGCTCTTACCGCGAGATGTCGGAGACGGCAGGTAGCACAAATTTCCTTGACACTCCAAGACCTCAAATTGGACCTTGTTAGTCCACCGCTCAGCCCTCCGCGCATGGAGTGAACCAAGATAAAAGCAAGGCTCGCAGTCTCGTTGCGACACGAGCGACTGTTACAGACCTGATCGCTTCCCGTTGCCCAACTTGAGGCCGCGACGCACATACACAACAACGTCAAAGAGCTCCTTCATCGAATTGATGACGTTTCCTTTTCGGGCGTTTGTCTGCTTGGTGGCTTGGTGGTTTACAACCTTCGAGACCTCCCTTCGAAAGGATTTAGGGCCAGGAACGCCGACAGTGCCCACGCAGGTCGCGAAATTTTGCCAGTCCTCTTGCCGTTATGCTTCCTCTTTGGATCTTCTGGAGAGTCAACAGCAAACCCCTAGAGGTTGGGTCACTGACTTGCTTAATTGTGGTTGTATTTGCAGTTGTCTCCTGGCAGGTTTGGATTTCGCTGTTTGGCCACAACAGCATGGGCTTTTGCTACGTCGAGGTCAGTACCTCAAATTGCTTGGCACATATCGTGCTGTGGGGACATCTGAGTAATAAGAAACTTGGAGTCTTGGAGATCGCGCAGGGGCCCGATGATGATACGTCCAGGACGTGGGTGCGAACCGCGTCTTCAGATTGAAAAGCTTATATGCACACATCCCCCATGATGCCAAGCCATGCACCCTTGCCAAGCCTCGTGCTGGTTCCGATCACAGAGCCTGCCGGATGCTTGCTTGCCTGCATGCGCGCATAGAAAAGGATGGATGGGTGTATGCATATTCGATGTACATATGTGTTACATGAGAATATGTATGCACACTTGTAGGCAGATGTTGCCAAGGGTGCATGCTCGGAGATCACCATTTGTGCGTGGGTGTCTGTGTGTGTGTGTGTGTGTGCGTGTGTTCGGCCATGAGTCGCGAGTGTACAGACACATGATTAGACATGTATGTGTACACAGCTTGCCTGCTA